GGCGAAGGGGGCGGGGCGGAGGGCGGGGCGGAGGAAGCCGCCTAGGACCCTGGGGCAGACAGACAGAAGGTGTGGGCTCGCGGGGCCAGGCCGGGGCAGACCCCCCCTTCCCGCGGGAGCCACCACTCGCCCCGTTGACCCTCACTCTCGGATGGAAGTCGGCTGTTCACTCTGTATTGGTGTCGAACCCCCCAAAGCCCCCCATGTCGCCGGCTCGGGGCGCCGGGCCGGGTCCGTGGGGTCGGCCCGGCCGTGCAGGTGGGACGCTGGGCTAACGGGGTGAGCGGGTGGGGTCACGCAGGGAGAGCGAGGCCGCTGTGGCTTCTCGGCTGCAGGGGGGACTCGCAGCCTCCCAGGCCCCTGCGAGACTCCTTTGCTGTCACCCAGAGCCTCCGCGGGGCCCCAGGCGCTAGAGAGGGAGCCCGGACGGCGGGTGTCAGGGCCCCCGGGACGATGACGTTCCCCCCCCCGCCCCGCAGGCTGGCCGGCTGCGGCCTCACGTCGCGCTGCTGCCCCGCCCTGGCCTCCGCGCTGGGCGCCGGCCCCCCGCTGACGGAGCTGGACCTGCAGCAGAACGAGCTGGGCGACGAGGGCGTGAGGCTGGTGTGCGGGGGGCTCCGGCACCCCGCCTGCTCGCTCACCCTCCTGTGGTAAGGCCCGCGGGGCCCTGGTGGCAGAGGCCCGGGGGGAGGGGAGACGGCTGGGGGGACATGGGAGCCGTGGACGCGGACAGAGGGAGGGAAAGGGCTGAGAAATGCACGGTCAGCCTGCTCCGCCCCGACTCAGGCGGGTGACTTGGGCCAGACTTCTGAGACTCGGTGTGCTCATCTGGGTAATGGGACCATGTGTCCTCCGACTGTAAGGGGCCCTGCAGGTCACTTCTGCCTCCAGGCCACGGCTTCCTTCCCGCCTTCCCTCACTGAGCCCCCGGCCAGGCAGTGAGGACGCAGCAGTGGGCCGCCCTCCTTCCTGCCCCGAGGCCCTGGATGGTTGTCCCCTGAAAACACGTCCAGGGCTATTTCTGGCTGACAGCCTCGCAGGCGCCCCGGACGGGCCAGGGGTGCAGGACGCACGTGCCCCGCTCCCAGTGGGCTCCACCAGCCCTGGAGGGGGTCCGCACAGCCCGGGCCCTCGGAGCCGGGGAGCAGTGGGGGACGGATCCCGGGAGCTGGACAGTGTGCACCTGGGTCCTCGTAAAGCCGAACAGACCCTTCCCAGCCCGGGAGCTGGTGCCTCACCTCCCTGCCCTTCCTCACTGAGCATTTTCTTTTCTTCTTTTCTCTCTTTTTTCTGTTTTTTGTTTTTTTATTAATTTTTTAATATTTATTTTTGAGAGAGAGAGCATGAGCAGGGGCGGGACAGAGAGAAAGAGGGAGACGCAGAATCCGAAACAGGATCCAAGCTCTGAGATGTCAGCACAGAGCCCAACGTGGGGCTCGAACCCCACAAACCGCGAGATCATGACCTGAGCCAAAGTCGGACGCTTAACCAACTGAGCCCGCCAGGCCCCCGCTTTTTTTTTTCTTTTTTACAGTTTATTTATTTTGAGAGACAGCATGAGTGGGGGAGGGGCAGAGAGAGAAGGCGGAGAGAGAATCCCAAGCAGGCTCCATGCTGTCAGCACAGAGCCTGACGTGGGGCTCGAACCCACGAAATGCGAGATCCTGACCTGAGTGGGAATCAGGAGTCAGAAGCTTAGCAGACTAAGCCACCAAGGTGCTCCTACCTTTTTCCTACGCAAACTCTGTCCCCAACATGGGGCTCGAAGCCGTGACCCTGAAATCAAGACCCCCGGGCTCTCCTGACTGAGCCAGCCAGGCACCTCCCCCCTCCGACCCCGGGGCATTTCTGGCTCTTCCCCCCTTGCACATTCTGTCTGTCTGTCCGTGGCCTTTGTGGGGGAGACGACTCCTGCCCCCGCTCAGCAGCTCACCCTCTGACGGGCTGTGAAGGTCTCTGCCTCCTTCCCCCCTGGCTCCGGGGCCTGACCTGCAGGGATGGCCTTCCACGCAGTGGGCCCGTCTCCCCCCCCCCCAGGCCACGAGGGCTCTGTGGCAGTAATGAGGCCTGGGCACGTCTCTGGGCGGGGGTCGGGCTTCACACTGCTGCCGTGTCCGCGGCTCACACATGATAGACACGCGAGCGACACGTGATAGAGGTGAGAACACAGATACCCAGAAGGGACAACAAATTTCCCGGATCCCAGAGAAGGCCCAGAACAAAAGGCCTGTGAAAATGGAAAGAGGGACGCTCTCTTTCCAGCAACCCTTCTGGCCTCTGGGTGGGAAATCCCAGGCTCCACCCTGGAGGTGGTGGCTTCGAGGCTGGGGACCAACTGCCCTGTGGCAGCTGCCGTGACTGAAGAAGGAAGGCAGAGCCCCCGCGGCCAGGAGTGCTGGGGGCGGCTGCTGCAGGATGGCCTGGACCAGCGGGGTGGTGCCACCAAGGCCGTCCCCTTCCCAGGGCGGGCAGCTCACAGTGACCGGGGCTCCTGTGTGGCTCCGGGGGATCCAGGCTTCCCCTGTGCTCACAGGCTGGACCAGAGCCGGCTGAGCGAGGAGGTGGTGCGGCTGCTGAGGGCCGTGGAGCAGGAGAAGCCCCATCTGCTCATCTCCACCCGATGGTAAGGGGCGCAGGGGGCCCCCGAACCCCTCAGGCTGACCTGGGCCCAAGGCTGAACCTAGAGGCTGATGCGGAGCCAGGAGGCGGGGCGGAGGCGGGGCTGGGCAGGAATGGGATGGGGACGAGCCGAGATGGGGCGGGGCCGGGGAGTAGATGGGCGGAGACAGGGCGGAGACTGGACGAGGTGGGGCGGGGCCGGGGAGTAGATGGGCGGAGACGGGGCGGAGACTGGACGATGTGGGGGCGGGGCCGGGGAGTAGATGGGCGGAGACGGGGCGGAGACTGGACGATGTGGGGGCGGGGCCGGGGAGTAGATGGGCGGAGACAGGGCGGAGACAGGGCGGAGACTGGACGGTGTGGGGGCGGGGCCGGGGTGTAGATGGGCGGAGACAGGACGGAGACTGGAAGATGTGGGGGCGGGGCCGGGGTGTAGATGGGCGGAGACTGGACGAGGTGGGGCGGGGCCGGGGCGGGGGCGGGGCGGGGCAGGAAAGGGATGGCTTAAGCCAAGATTCTCTTTTGCCTCCACCAAAGCGTCATCCTCGAGGCAGCTGAGGTCCTAGAGGGAGGTCACTGCCTGTTTCTGGAACTTGTTAATGGGCTGTAGGCAGTAGGGGAATTTAATTTTTCATTTGCCTCAGTTTCCCCCATCACCATGGCAGGCACTTAAACCCCCTTCCATCTTGATGAAGTGATATTAGGGCTTCAGGAAACAGAGTCTATAGGTTTCTGGAGATTTGGCTCCGGATAAGCTTGCCTCTTTCTTGCAGGTTACTAAGTTCTCCGTAAACTGGGGAGGGTGTTAGCTTGTGCTTGGCCCTCAGCCTGCCTTATGCTCCCGTGTCCGTCGGTCAGCTCTCACGGGGGACCTGGGGGGTCAGGATGATGTCCCAGCTCTGTTACGAAGGGCTGGGCAGATGAGGCCGTTCACAGCCTGGACGGCCTGATTTTAAGTGGGACTGTCAGGGAGATGGCCCAGCTTCCTCTGAGATCTCAGGGGTGGTGGACGCCCTTGTCTAGGAAGCCGGGTGTGACGGTCCCTAAGGAGGGTCCAGGTGAAGGACAGACAGACGACGTGTCTTCACGCAAGCGGCAGAGACAAGAATCAGGTAGAGTCTGAAGGGCCCGGCCGGGGGCATCCTGACGGGGCGGCTCCTGGGCCGGCTCCACCCCTTGGGACCAGGCGGGTTCCCCACCAAAGAGAGTCCACCCCACGAAGTCTCCACCCCTAGAAACCTGCGGGATTTCTGCCCCCGTCTGTCCCAGCCTCAGGGACTCAGACTCTGAAGCAGGAGCCTCCCAGGGCCCACTCGGCTTCTGGGGCCCCTGGGAGTTGCTTCTCCATCCCTGCCCATCCATCTTTTGAGCCATGTTCCTCTCACAAGCTGCCCACCTGCAGTGGAGAACAACACCTCTGGACGGGTGGGCTGGGGCTGGGCTGGGCAGGGGCTGGGCAGGGGCTGGGCAGGGGGTGGGCCGGGTGAGCAGGGCTAGGTGTCCTCAGGCAGCAGACAGGCAGCATCAGGAGCAGAAATTGAGGCTTCAGAGCCACCCCCACCCGGGCACGTCCCGGCAGCCCCGCCTTGGGAAGGGGCCCTGCGTGGTCTCTCCAAAGGGGGCCAGGGGAGGCCAGACCACAGATCCTAGGCTGACCCCTGTCCTGCCTGTGACAGAGGGAAGCCCCCGTCAAGTAGCGCAGGTGGGAGCCTTCTGTCTGCCTTCTCCTGCCCTTGCGGAGGACCTGCTCGCGGAGCCTCTGGGGAGTGATGATGACTTCTGGGGCCCCCTGGGGCCTGTGGCCACCAAAGTGGTTGACGAAGAGAGAAGCCTGTACCGGTGAGGGGGGCAGCGGGGGGCTCTGCTGTCGCGGGCTGGCTTCCCTCATCACCATCCCCACTGCCGGTCGGCAGTATACCCACTGCACGGGGGCCCCTCCCCTCCAAGCCAGCAGGCAAGGACCCGGCTGAGAGACCGAGCCAGTGCTTTTATTAGGGAAAAGGGGCTTTATTATAAAAATGTTCGACCATACACAAAAACAGAGTCCAGGGACCTGCATGTGCCTCAACAGCTGCGATGCTGGGTTTGTTCAGTCTTCCCGTCTGCTGTTGTTACAGCATTTTAAATCCAAGACACTGGGTGATTTCACCCTGAAATATTTTGTGATGTATTTTAATTTTTTAAGTTTATTTATTTTGAGAGACACAGAGAGAGAGAGCACAAGCAGGGGAGAGGCAGACACAGAAGGAGAAGGAGAATCCCAAGCAGGCTCCACACTGTCAGCACAGAGCCGGACAAGGGGCTTGAACTCACTAATTGTGAGATCATGACCTGAGCTGAAACCAAGAGTCAGATGCCTAACTGGCTGAACCATGCAGGGCCCCCGGCAAATAGGCCTTTTAAAAATAAGAACACTTTAGGGGTGCCTGGGTGGCTCAGTTGAGCATCACACTTCGGCTCAGGTCATGATCTCATGGTTCGTGGGTTCGAGCCCCACGTCGGGCTCTGTGCTGACAGCTCAGAGCCTGGAGCCTGCTTCCCACTCTGTATCTCCCTCTCTGTCTGCCCCTCCCCTGCTCGTCCTCTGCCTCTGAGTAATAAATTAAAATGCTAAAAAAATTTTTTTAATAAAAAAATAAAAATAAGAACCCTTTACTGGTTCATCACCACCGTCGTCATGGAAACAGCTAGCCGCCCCCCAGGCATGTGGTAACTGTCCGCATGCACCGGGTGGCTTCTTACTGAACACTCTGACATGGGTGCTGTCATCATCCCCGTTTGGAGGTGCGAACGCTGGGGTGGGAGGTTCTGTGAGGTGCTCAGGGACCCACAGTCAGGGGCAAAGGCCCCAGAGCTCAAACCTGAGCCCTTCTGACCGCGGCGTCTGGATGTGACACTCTGCTACATCCACGTGGCCCCGCACGGGGCCCGGCGCCGGCAGCTGCTCCGCGAGTTTGCGTGGAGTGATTCTGTGTCTGCCTCTCCCTGCTCCGCCCAGGGCTCACCTGCCCGTGGCTGGCTCCTACCGCTGGCCCAGCACGGGTCTCCGGTTTGTGGTGAGAGGGCCAGCGACCATCGACGTTGAATTCTGTGCCTGGAGGGAGCACCTGCGCGGGACGGTCCCACAGCACAGCTGGGTGGTGGCAGGGCCTCTGTTTGACATCAGGGCCGAGCCAGGGGCCGTGGCGGCTGTGTACCTCCCGCACTTTGTGGACCTCCAAGGTGAGTGGGAGGGAGGCGTGCAGGGAGGGGACGGCGGTAATGGTGGGCCTGGAGGGGCTCGCGTGGCACTGTCCTGGGGGAGGGGACAGGGTCCTGGGGGAGGGGACACTGTCTGTCCTGGGGGAGGGGCACCTGGCGTCCTCAGAGAGACTGAGAGTGTCACAGAAGTGGAGCGTGGTGCTCTGGGCATATCTATTTTGAAGCATTTTTGTCTCCTAGCCTCATAATTCTTCTTGCCTGAATTACCTGAAAGTTTCCCTAAGTAACAGCGGTCTCCGCAGTAAGAGTGTTAACTGGCGTCTATTAAGTGCGCTTTACCCAGATTGTGCCGCTCGTGGTCCCAGCAGGAGACAGACCACATACCCAGCTGAGGTTTTTGAAGACACTTTGCAAAGGCAGGGCTGTTTACAAAGTAAGGTGAAATGAGCCATCGGGGATGGTGGGGTCCCAGTGCACCAGGGAAGAATGTTACTGCTCCCACAGGCCGGGAGAAGACACGGTGTCTCCAGACTCCCTCTGGGAGCTGGAGCGATGAACGAGGCACTTCCAGGAAGATATGCAGTTATAAGGGGTAATGCCTCTTTTCCGGCCTGTCCCACTTCCAAGGACTTCCCACAGATAACTTTCCAGGAAATATAAGCTCACAATCAAAAATCTCACATACAGCAAACAAGGCACCACAAGTGAGAAGCAGTGGAAGCTGCAGGTAGCAGAATAAGTCCTGAAAAGATTTCAGAGATTGGAATGATCAGAACAGCAAATAAGTACGTTCCATGTGCTTAACAGAAGAGCCTTTAAAATACGAGCAAGAAGCAAGGAGCCGTTAAAAGGGGTAAATCAAGTTTGGAAACAAACCTAGGGAACATATTTTTTTAAAACCTAGGGGAGAAAAGATTCAGCGGCATAAAAGAGACCACGAGAAAGCCTAACACACATCCAATGAAAATCTGGAAGTATGACGTGAACAGGATGGGGAAGAAGCAGTGTTCAAGGAGACAACTGCCAAGAAATTTTCTGCAGTTGCTGAAAGACGTAACTTTGTTTTCAGAATGAAAAAATCCTAAAAATCCAGGCAGAAGAGAGAGGAATCTGGACCCATCGTAGTGACGATACAGAATACCAAAGCCTTGGGAGGGTTGTGGACTCAAGCAGAAGGAGAGACAAAGACCTCACAGGGGCCACAGTCGGCTGACCGCGGATTCTGAAGGGCAGCTGTGGAAGGCGAAGGCAGTGGGGGTACCGGACCCCTCCAAGATACTGATGTCGCAACTGTCCCTCGGGAAATACCAAGCACAGAAAAATCATCGTTTGAGAAAAGCGTAAAACTAGAATAAAGAGTAAAACTATTGAAAAGTTTGAAGCACGCGCAAACCGAAACAGCTTTCCACGAACGGAACCTCACCGAAGGAAACGCCGAAGGATGCACCTTGGACACCACGAGCATGATCCCATCCCACGTGGAAGGGGTGGGGTGCAATGTGGAGTCATCACAGAGGTGCTAGCATGCATGCGGCTGAAGCTACCAAAACACCAGCTGCATGAAGCAGAAATGACGATGTCTGGCGCGGGGCACTTAAAACAGAGAAAGAACAGGGGCACCTGGGGGGCTCAGTCCGTTGAGCATCTGACTTCGGCTCAGGTCATGATCTCATGGCTCATGGGTTCGAGCCCCGCCATCAGGACCTAGTGTCCGCCAGTCTAATGAGCAGGTCAGAAGTATCTGGTGCGTTCCCCACGTCAAATCATGATGCAGACAAGAGCTTCGTTTCCTTCTGATCGATGATTTCATGAACGATTTGTGTTACAGCCTATAGCAGTGGTGAGCACACTCAGGATATGTGGGTGTAGTTAGATAATGGAGGGGGATGTGTTTTTCATGTTCCATTTGTATATTGGTTAACGTATTCATTTACAGTGCCATCCAGCATTTACATCCATTCACATAAAGTGATCAGTTGACTTTAGACTTTAAGCATGAACGTTAAAATATTAGGACCATCGATCAGAGAACATATGTAAGAAGAATAATTTACAAACTTGTAGCAAAGACAGATGGAAAGAAGAATGAAAGATAAGGCACTGCCCCGTATGCGGGACGCGGAAGGCTCATTTGTTGAGACCACAAAGGCTCGATAAGCCATTGAAGCCGCAGGAGGAGAGCGTGGGGGCCAGGACGGGGAGTCCGGGGGCACCTGGCCAGACAGACAGGGTTACTGGGGGGAGATTCCAGAGTGAGGCATGGGCAGGGGCGTGCAAGATGGCCCTGGGGCCGTAGAGACGCGGTCACGTGGGTAAGGGTCAGGGAGGCGCACTGTTGGCTCAGGCCTGGCCGTCTGCAGAGCAGTGAATAGAGGCAGCACACCCGCCATCAGAGAGGGACCTTGGCCCTTTTCCGGCTCATTCCTGCCTGGGGTCACATCTGCTGGCCTTTGTCACCAGCCCTCATTGTCACAGTGTCCACGCCAGCATGATCCAGGGCCGGGGGCTGGGGTTTCTGTGGGCTTGGCTCTGGGGGGCTCTGCTCCTCCCCAGGCCGGCCACGAGCCCCCATCCCGGGCCCCCGTTGCCCATGCTGCCCCGGTCCAGCCTGACCCCATGGGGGCACTAAATCCCGGTCTCTCACATCCTTCCTTCGACAGGGGGCCATGTGGACAGCTCCCTGTTCCACGTGGCCCACTTTAAGGAGGAGGGGATGCTCGTGGAGAAGCCGGCCCGGGTAGAGGCGTCCCACGCGGTCCTGGAGAACCCCAGCTTCTCCCCCGTGGGGGTCCTGCTCAGGACCCTGCAGGCTGCTCTGCGCTTCGTGCCCGTCACCTGCAGCGTGCTGCTGTACCATCACCCCCACCCGGGCGAGGTCGCCTTCCACATCTACCTGGTTCCCAGCGACTGCTCCGTCCGGAAGGTGGCCCTGGGAGCCAGGAGGCCTGGGCCGGGTGGGCTGTGGGCAACTCAGAGGGTCCCCAGATGGGCCAGCTGGGGTCCAGGTGGGGTGCGCGGTCACCCTGAGCCCCTATGCTTGGCTGTGGGCTGGCCAGGTGTCAGGCTCCAGGCCTGAACCACCTCCTGTCCCCTCCACACCTGTCCCCGGAGGCCCCAGCCCCCACCCTGGGAATGTCCGTGTAGCGGGGCATGGGGGGCGGGGGGATGCGGGAGCTCCACCTCACTCGGGTCCGACCACATTCGTGGGACAGAACCCCCAGCCACACGCCAGACACCCCGTCCCCTGAGCACGCTCCCCGTGCCCCACAGGCCATAGACGACGAAGAGAACAAGTTCCAGTTTATGCGGATACACAAGCCGCCTCCGCTGGCCTCGCTCTACATGGGCTCCCGCTATATCGTGTCTGGTTCCGAGAAGCTAGAAGTCATCCCCAAGGTGAGCAGTCCGGAGGCAGAGGTCATGCCTGGAGCCCCGGTGGGGGGAGGGGGGTACCTCGGAGGGAGTCGGGCTGGGCAGACTGGACGCAGGCCTGGGGGGCGGGGTAGTGCTTCAAGGTCAGTGTGAAGGAGGTTAGCTGGGGGAGGGGCACGCTCAGGATGGGGCGACGCTGGCATCTGACGCGGGGGCACCGAGGGGGGGGACAGTCGGTAACAAGACAGACGCCCCGCCCTTGGCCAGAGGACATCCGGACAGGATGAGACCTGCGTCATTGTAAGCAGGGACCAGAACCAGGAAGGGCTGTGAAGGAGACCCAAGCAGGCCGTGGAAGAGGGTGACCCCCAATCTGGGGGTCCAGGGAAGACGGGTCAGGCCAGAAGGTAGAGGCCCCTGGGGGCAGGGGGAGAGTCCGCGGAATCGAGGTTCCCTCTGAAGGTGGAGCCGATGGACTTGGCGTGTGTGGGGAGAGGATGGCGCCTGACTCTGTGGCCTGTGGTGCAGGGGCCGTCTACTGAGTTTGGGTAAAGTGGGGCGGGGCTTGGAGCCGGCTGTGTGGGTCTGAACGGGGTCGTGTGCAGGACCCTTTGAGAAGACAGGCTTGGAGCTGGAGAGGTGAGGGGCTGGGGGGGGATGGAGAGG